GATGGAATGTTTGACGTTGCACTAGGATATCGTATAACAGGAAAATCCCATGCAACGGTCTTATCAAACACACTCAATCTGAGAGATCCGTCTGCTCGTGTCTGCAGTTTCGCACCTAAGAAGGTGCACGAGCCATCTGCCGCAGTGGTCTCCTTCCATTCAAGACCATAATGGGCTGATGATGGTGGCAGACAATCAAAGGTAAGAACATCATCAATGAACCGATATGTAAAAGCATATCGGCGAGCAGCAGAGGGATCCACACGCTGCAGGTTGTCCACGTACTGCGCCTCATCCCAATAGAGTGTAAGATTGGCAAAATCAGGACCAGCGTTTGTACCCATAGGGATACCGACATCTTGATGACGAACAAGGCCATCCGCTGTATACAAATATGTATTTGTAACAATAAACCGCAGATGTTATCTATATACCTCCTGATGAGTCGGTGAAACTCCGACGAAACAGTTTGTCACAGCCCCTCGTTTGTTGTCCTCTTCTCTCTCTCTGCCTACGGTTTACCGGGCAGTTCTGTTTGTGACGATATATAGATATAAGCCATATATTATACATACGAATATAGATATATCTATATATTATACATACTTATGAAACGGTTTTCACCTTTGCAGAGGCAGATGCTGATCCCAGGGTTCGATTCCCAGACCTTACCTTGCCCGTGTACAGTAGCGAGTGACCCCGGAGTGTTTGAACCCGTGACCTGTGTTTCGTGAGTTGTTGTTTGTCTGTCGTAGGACTGTGTAGGCATAGGGATTCGATCTGTAGGTCTGTAGAGCAGGGGTCAGAGCTCCGTAGCTGCTACAATCCCGAAAGGTCAAAGTCGTAGCTGCTACAATCCCGGAAGTGGCCTTTTGAGTTGCCGCTCACGTTTTACACAGAAGGCCAGAGGCAAGTGGGCAAGTGGTGCGTCCGACTTCGCTTATTCAGCGGTACCCAGTCCCAGTCTCACTTTGCACAGTCAGCAAGTACCAAGGGGGACTGTGTGCACGATGGGTCAGCAAGTACAAAGGGGGACCGTGTGCACGATGGGCCCGGAGGAAAGAGGCAGACCAACGGGTTACAGAAGTATAAATCAAGAGGCAGCGCACAACCATTCATTCATTCCTGCGGAAGCCATGCGGAAGCGTTGCCACGGTGACTTGTGCGAGGTGGTCTGCAGAGGAGCCTGAAGTCGAAGTGGGCTAGGAGTTAGTGCAGCCATAGCTGCTTGTAGAGTAGAGTTAGCTGGCGGCCATTGCTGCCATAGTTAGTGATAGGTGTGGATTCGTGTGTGTGCCGAGAGTGTGCGTGGGGTATCCAGGGTGATCCGGAGTTGAGGTGTGAAGCGAACAGTGGTGTTGGACACAGTGACAAGAGTTGCGATGTGTGGGTGCTGATGCACCATAGCCTGTTGAAGCGAGCTCGCATCTGAACTGTCTTGTTTTCCATATCTTCGAGCTTTGAGTTGGGCGCTATGCGCCAGTGTGATTCACCACCTGTTTGTATGCATGTGGAGTGACGAAGTATGTGAGTCTGATTGCACTTATTTAGATATGTCTATGTATCGTCAAACAGAACTGCTCGGTTAATCGTAGGCCGAGAGGGAGAAGAGGACAGCCAATGAGGGGCTGTGAGATTTTTTTTTTTTTTGGTCGGAGTTTCATCGACTCATCAGAAGACTGGAGCTTATATATGCATATGGGTTCAGCCTCCTGATGAGTCGGTGAAACTCCGACGGAACGGGTCTTGAGTTCGAGACTTGATGAAATCAGATTTGATATTAAGGGTAGGGGCTACCCCCGCTAGGAAATTTAGAAAAGAAGAGGGGAAGGAAATTTTGGCGTTGCCTGTTTTCTTTGTTCATGCTCGCTACTGACACCTGTACATTCTGGGTAAGAATCTGGCCGTGTATCTGGTCAGATACATCCCTACCGGCGCAAATAAACTGAATTTTCTTTTTTTTCCCTCTTTTTTTCCGGTCCGCGACGACCTTGAGACATCATTATTTTTGTGGAACTTACCGGCGCCAGGTAATTCAGAATTTGACTTGTTCTGTCCATCTGGTTGTATCTGCTGATTGCATCTGGATTCGAAATTGGGTCTGATTCATATTTCAACAGTTGACGGGTATTCCAACTTTAGCTAGGTTCGTTTTTGTTGAAGTGAGCACGAGTGTATCGAACTGCAATCAAGGCCCGAACGGTGTGTATCTGACCGCAATTACGTCCACATCTGAGTGAAAAAAAGTCCTGGTGCGAGTATGCTATGGGTTCTTTTTTTTGTTTTTTAGCGAAAACAAGTGTACTTGCCGAAGTTGCGGGGCGAAAAAAAAAAAAAAAAAAGGGAGTCGTACTCACACAGTTCAGAGAATGAGAAGCGGGGAAAAAAAAAACAGTCAAAATTTCCGCAAAGCAACCTCCTCCTCTTTTCTCCATCACGGCGAGTGTGCGTGCTTTGTCTGTGCAGTCCCATCGCGCCCCCTCCTCCTGTTTGCCGTTTGTCCTCGTCTCATTGCCCATGAGGGTCGTCGCCGTGGCCATGAGGGTCGTTGCCATGATCACAAGGATCCCTCTCCTTCCTTCCTCTGCTTCCATACTCTTATCCCCCTCCAGCCGTCATCATTTGTCCTTGCACCCCCTCCTCTCTCTCTCCCTCTCTCTCCCTCTCTCTCTCCCTCTCTCTCCCTCTCTCTCTCCCTCTCTCTCTCCCCCTGTCCCTCCCCCTCTCCCGACCTCCTCCTCCCCCTCCTGCGCCCCACTTGCTCGTCCTTGCACGACCTGCTCGACCCCCCAGAAAAAGGTTATTTGAAAAATGTTGGCTTAAAAAAGTTAAAAAAAAAAGTTCTTTTAGAAAAAGAAAATTCTTTTAAAAAAAAAATGCTGCAAGGGTAATCTGTCGGAGGTGGTTACAAATTTTGGGATAGTTTTGAAATTTGAGCCCGTTATTGGTTTTCTAAACACATGACTCGTTTTTTTTTTTTTTAAGACTAGGTTTATATTATATTATATATCAGCTGGGGCAAATTTTGACCCCCAGTCACCGGAATGAAATGCAGTGCACGGTAAATGTCACTGTATCTAGATTGAAAGTCGGTCCAAATACAGCTCCAATGACCCTGCGCTGTATTCAGGTGAAGAGACTCTGGTGGGAGGATAAGAAGCAAGCACAGCCGCAAGTCCATCTATTGGTAGCTTTCAGGATCCGTCATCCCCGAATCGTTTACAGCTGTATCTAGACTTAAAATTGGCCCAAATACAGCTGTAATGACCTTACGTTGTACAGGTGTATCTAGACTGAAAGATGGTGCCAATGCAGCTGGAATGACCCTAATCTTGACGGCAGGCAATCAATTGGCACGCATCTGACCTTCGAAGGATCGAATGCATCATTGTTATTCCTGTGTATCTAGACTGAAAGTTGCCCCAAATATAGCTGTAAAGATTGTACGTTCTGTTTGAAGGAAGGTGGTAGTGGACCGTCTTTGCCCAAATTGAATCCGTGGTCATCATTGCTGTGTATTTAGACTGAAACTTGGCCCAAATACAGCTTCAGAGACCTTGTGTTCTGTTTGGGGGAAGACTGTAGTGGAGTGTCTTCCTTTGAATTGAATGCATGGTCATTATTGCTGTGTATCTAGACAGAAAGGTGCACGAAATACAGCTATAAAGACCATGCGTTCTTGGGGGAAGACAAGACGGTAATGGAACCTCATCGAACTGAATGCACGGTCATTATTGCTGTGTATCTAGACTGAAAGTTGGCCCAAATGCAGCCTTAAACCCTGCGTTCTATTTGGGGGAAGGAAGATGGTAGTGGAATCGGAGCCCTTTATATGTTCAGCAGATGGAAAGAACAAAACACGGTGGGGTACAGTCATCTGTGCGAGAGCCTTTCTCCTCTCTGCTTAAAAAAAAGAAAAAAGAAAAAGGAAAAAAAAATTCATGCGTGTGCCGACTTAAAGATAATGCCTTTTTGCATTTGAATTCAACGGAAAACGTTTTTGAAGTATTTTCCCCCCTTCCCCCCCCCCTTTTGAATTGGGATTTTTTTCAGGGTGGGTTTTTTTCCCCCCCCCCCCCCCTTTTTTTTTGGGATGGACCGACCGACGCGATAATGGTCGTGTTGTCGACGGCTTGGCAGAGCGGCTCGCGATCTGGACGGCTCGCGATCTGGACTCGCGCGGACCGGAAGAGTGGGGTTGGTTGGTGGATTAGGTTGTGTGCTGATCGACCGATCGTTGTTCGTCAGTAGTCGTCGTTCACGATGTCGAGCGGAGGTGGAGGTGCCCGGCTTAACGTTGTCCCGACCGTCACGGTTTTGGCGGTGATTAAGGCACGGCTGATCGGTGCGACGAAGGGGCATCAACTTTTGAAGAAGAAGAGCGATGCGCTGACGATGCAGTTTCGCTCGATTTTGAAGAAGATCGTGCAGACGAAGGAACAGATGGGCGAGACGATGCGCGCGTCTGCGTTCGCGTTGACGGAGGCCAAGTACTCGGCCGGTGAGAACATCAAGCACGTGGTGTTTGAGAACGTGGACCAGGCAGTACTGAAAGTTCGGACGAAACAGGATAACGTCGCGGGCGTGAAGCTTCCGAGGTTCGAGCAGTTCTCGGAGCCGGGCGAGGGAAAGAACGATCTGACGGGTCTGGCGAGAGGAGGGCAGCAGATTCAATTGTGCAGGGGGGCGTTCGTGAAGTCCGTTGAGCTTCTCGTCGAACTCGCGTCGCTGCAGACTTCGTTTCTGACGCTCGACGAGGCCATCAAAACGACTAATCGACGTGTGAACGCGCTGGAGAACGTCGTCAAGCCGAAGCTGGAAAACACCATACAGTACATCAAGGGAGAGCTGGACGAATTGGAGAGAGAGGAGTTTTTCCGGCTGAAGAAAGTGCAGGGAAACAAGAAGAAGCAGCTGCAGAGACAGCTGGCGGAGGCGGCGGCAGCGGTAGCGGTAGCGGTAGCGGCAGAAGCGGGAAAGAGTGCTGCCGACGGCGCTAATCATGTGGCAGATCCTTATCGATTTGGTGGGCAACAAGAGGCAGAAGAGGACGGGGACATTATGTTCTAGACAGATGTCAGCGTGACTCTGTCAACGGATTGCGCTGCCCTTTTTCGCTAGTAAAGATGGTGAATGAGAGGTGAGAGGTTGATGGGACGGGGTGGAGGTCGGAGAGTTTTGGCGAAACAGATGGTGGAAGCGGCGGCTGCGGCAGCAGCAGCAGCAGCAGGAAGGGTGTGGATGGTGCTAATCGCGTGGCAGGTCCTTATCGATTTGGTGGGCAACAAGCGGCAGAAGATAATGGGGACATTCTGTTTTAGATAGACGTTCACTACGACACCATTGTGGATCACGAATCGAGTCGGACTTCTTTCGTGAATATAGAAAATGAGGGGTTGATTGGATGGGAGATCGTATGGAAGTAGGTGCAGGGTATCGGTGGCAAAGGATGCAGCGGGCAAGAGTGCTGTGGTCGATCGAATGGGCGGTCAGGATGACATCGTCATGGAGTCGTGGATTGTATGGCACTTGTCTTCTTTGATTGTATGGCAGAGGGTTGCTTGATCGGAGAGGTTGTGGAGTTTTGATGAGGATGGAAGAAGGTGCAGGGTAGCAGCGGCGGTGGTGACAGCAGGCAGGAAAGAGTGCCGCTGCTGATCAAATGGAGCATCCATATTTGTTGTAGTCATCAGCGAGAGGAAGCCGACATGGGTGTTCTGTTTAGTGTGAGGGCATCGTCCTTTTAGACCTCCCAGTTGAAACCATTGCTTTCTGTAGCACACAATCTACTGAAAGGGCAAAGGAGAGGTAACCGTCGAGCTGGTGGGGGAAGAAGCGATTGCAGAGAAGACATGTCGCAGAGAAGACACGGGGCACGGTTGTGATGAGGGTGGAAGAAGGTTTCAGGCCGTCTAGCTCAAACCGTTGCTTTCTATAGCACGGTATCTACAGAAAGGGGCAAAGGAGAGGTAACTGTTGAGCTGGTGGGAGATAAGTGATTGCGGGGAGAACATGTGGCAAAGAAGATTTGGTAAAGATGTGTGGCGGATTGTGATGAGAATGGAAGAAGGTGCGGATTGTGATGAGAATGGAAGAAGGTGCCACGATAATCGTGGAAGACGATCGTTGTGTGGCGGTATTGTGATGAGAATGGAAGAAGGTGATGAGAATGGATAATCGTTGGAGACGATCGTTGGAAGAAGTGATTGCAGCGGAGACACACGACAGCAGTGGTAGCGGAAGATCTTTCATGGATTTTGTCAGCGGGAGGAAGAAGACACAGGCGGTAGCGGAAGATCTTTCATGGATTTTGTCAGCGGGAGGAAGAAGACACAGGCAGTCTGTTTTGGGCCTTCAGCTGGATCCGATGCTGTCTAGCATGTGAAGTATTTAAGGGGAGCTTGATTGGTTTGGGGTTTGCTTGGGGAGGAGAGGGGGGCGGGGGTCTTGATTGGTTGGGGGTGAGTTTTGTCCAGTGAAGGTGGAGGCAGGGTGATTGGTGGAGGCGGCTGCAGAGATATGGAAAAGATGCATGAAAGAGACAAGTGGCAGCAGCCAGCCTGTGCGGTGGCAGCAGCAGCAGGAAGGGGGGATTCTATTTTTAGAGACGATATATGATCTTGTGGAAGATCAGTGTGGACTCCTGGAAAGAGAGTGAAGATGTGGGTGTTCTATTTTTAGTAGCGATTTTTTAAGTGGATTGCAGAGTAAATGACTGGCTTATGTAAGTTTGAGAGGGAAGAGTCTTTTGGATGGGGATTATTTTTTTGGGGTGGGGGAGGGTTGGGTGAATAAGAAGGATCTGTGTGCCGTGTAGCGGTATTTAACGGCAGGAGTGCGGGTAGTGTTGTGGTAGATCAGATGTCCTTATATATTTTCGTAGTAAGAAGAGAAAGATTTGGGGATATTTTGTTCTCCATGTTTTTTCTATAAGTACGGCGTCTAAAGGTTTTGTGAGTGTAGCGAATAGCGATTGTTGTGATGATGTGGAGTATGTGTGTGTGGTAGGACGGGGGCTTCGTGTAATAGCTGTGTAAGAGCTGTGTGTGTGCACAACTTCAATCTTGCGATTGGTGTTTCAGGTTGTGATGTGGAGTTTTTTTTTTTTTTTTTTTAAAGGGTGATGGGGAGTTAGTGCAGTTATTTGTTATTTGTTTGTTGTTGTTTCTACTCTGGTGGAAGTATTCGAGGAAGTGGAATAATGACCGGTTCGCTGCGCATCTCTTTTTCAATGCGTCTTGTGATTGCTTAGTTGGCCTGTCAAAGCAGCCGGGGCTCTCTCGTGTATGAGCTACTTTGTTTTTGTTTTTTTTTTCCCTTTCTTTCTGAAGCCACTTTGTGCTTTTACCTGTAGGCCCGTGTAGGGCTTCTTTCGCGAGGTCCCTTCCTCTCTCTTGTCTCTCTTCTTGCAGTCATGGCTTCCAGAGGGAGGTTTTCTATCCATGGCAGGCGTGGTTGTCCCGTGATGATTACTCTGTGTTTAAGCTCTTTTGCGTCGCTTCTTTTCTGCGTCCTCTTCATCCCTGCCTCCCCTGTTCTCCCACTGCTGGAGGAATAAATAACTCTCCCTTCTGTGTATTTCTCCTGTCCCTTGGGCTCTCCTTCGTCGGTGTATTTCTCCTTTCCTTTGGGCATCTAAGGTGCCATCGTTAGCTCTTTCCTTGGAGGTTCGTTGTGGTGGTGGTTTTGCAGGCTATCGCAGTCCTTATGATTGTAATGGTGCCTGGTTGTGATAAGTCTCTCCTTGAGTGGCATGTCTTGTTGTCTTTTTGCCTTTTCTTCTTCCTCTTCTTTGCTGCTGTCTTCTTCTTCTTCTTCTTCTTCTTCTTCTTTGTTGCTGTCATTGTCTTCTTCTGCCTTCTCTTCTTCTTCTTCTTTGTTGCTGTCATCGTTGTCGGCTTCTCTTCTTTACATGATGATTGTCCATTCTTCTTCTCATCTTGTCCTTCTCATCCTCTAGATCAATGTCCATTTTTTTCTCATCCTGCTCCTCGTCCTCGTCGAAATGCTGTCGCTGCTGTTGTTATGGCCCAAGAGGAAGAAGAAGAGGAGGAAGAAGAGGAGGAAGAAAAAGAAGAAGAAAAAGAAGAAAAAGAAGAAAAAGATGTTCTTTTTTTTTTAATGGTTTCAACTTTTAAATGTTTTTTTTTATTGTTTGTCGAACTTTTTTTCATTAATTTGAAACTGGCACCGGCACCATGAAAGACGGATTTTGCAGACTTCTTCCGAATTTGGGTTTTAGAAAAGAATGAGAGTTTAAGCAGAGACCCGCTAACAGAAGACGAAAAGAACGGAGCAGAAAATTGGAGGCACAGATTGCATGTGCAGATCATGTACCTTACCACCTGAACTGTTCAGGTACATGTTCTGACGAGGGCCATGTTCAGTTCAAGAGCGGGGATGGACTTTCTTCTTATGCCCTCGTCTCTTATACCCCCCGTGGGGCTCCCTTCTCCTTTCCCCTTTTTTTTTTTTTTTTTTTTTTGGTTGGGGGGGTGGGCTCTATTCTCTTTTTTTTTTTTTTTTTTTTTTTTTTTGGGGTTTTTTTTTTTTTTTTTTTTTTTTTTTTTTTTTGAAAAAAAACTTCATCTGTTGGTGGGGAGCAGTACCTGCTGGACACACACAGACACACACACAAAGGGGTTGGATCCTTTCCCATTGGCCGAGGATGAGCAAAATCAAATGAATTTACCGCTACAACATGGAAATATACACTGCCACACTTTTTTTTTTTTTTTTTTTTTTTTTTTGGTTGGGGGGGTGGGCTCTATTCTCGTCTCCCCTTTCTTCTTCCCCAAAAGAGAATAATTTCCCCGCGCCCTTCTGTAGTGAGCAATCTATTCTTGTCGTTTGACTAAAAATTAACGTATGTATGGAAAGTGGGAAACCTAATCTCTCGTATTGTCCTCTTCTCCTTCTCTGCCTATGGAAACCTAACCTCTCGTATTGTCCTCTTCTCCTCCTCTGCCTATGTCTTCTCCTTCTCTGCCTATGGAAACCTAATCTCTCGTATTGTCCTCTTCTCCTTCTCTGCCTGTCTTCTCCTTCTCTGCTGATATATAGCGACGCTGTATGGTGCGACTATGCCTAGTGTTCAACAGCCAGTTATCTATGGTGATGATATATATCGATATGAGACTGTGTATATGGAACACTTACGTGAAAGGATGCATGTGCACATGAATGCCTGATGAGTGGATAATGAATGTTTTATAGGTAGGCAGAAAGTACAGGGGTGAAAGAAAAAAGGAATAAAAACTATACGACAGATAGACGAACGCCGTGTTTTCCTATTTACAGTGACTTGCATTCTGCCCAGTAATAGCTATATATATATATATATATGGCTGGGTGAGTACCAATAGCGTGGCTGCTGTGACTGTGAGATTAGGTCAGCAGCTTTTAGTGTGTGACCGAGCAGCCGCCTAGGTTCTAACCAGACAGCTTGTGTGATATATTGTCAGGTCTAATCGTGAGCCGGCGAGGTGCACAATTGTCTGGCAGCGCTGACTGGGTGTGGGTGAAAGCGGAGCTCTGCGGTCTGATCTGTTGAGAAGAAGGGCAGGGAGCTAGACGGAGACATGGATCGGCAACAACGTGTCCTGCTGGTCGCTCTATGGGGCAGTCTGCTTCTTCTGTCGGTTTCCGTAGCGGCAGCCGCTGCGGCCGGCGCGCAGAACAGCGCCTTCCTCGTCGTGGACAAGCGAGTGACGTTGAAGCGCATGAAGGATGCGGAGAAGGTGACCGTTAGCTTTGGGATTCACAACATGGGAGGCGGGATCGCGTACGACGTGACGCTGACGGATTCCGAGTGGCCGGAGAGCAGCTTCGAGTTGTTGAGCGGGAACATCTCGACGTCGTGGGTGCAACTTGAAGGTGGGGCTGTGGTGGAACACTCCTTTGTGTTGAAGACGACGACCAAGGGTCCGTTCGTAACTTTGCCGGCGACGGTCACGTATCGGCTGGCGTCGAAGTCGACTCCGCAGACGGCCAAGTCCACGCCCGTGCCTACGCTCGATCTGCTTGGCGACAGGGAGCCGGAGGTTCTTGTCGACATCAAGACATTAGTAATTAACGCGGCACCACTCACGTCCGCCATAGCCATCGTTGCTGGTGTCATCTACATCATCTTTGCGCCTTCGAGGCCCACAAGCAAGTACTCGGCTGGCAGCAAGAAACGCCGATGACCGGTTGTTCGTCTCCCTCCCTGCGTCCTTGGACGCGTGGGGAGCGGGTTTTCGGCGGGGAAACGGTAGTGCACGGCACTCAGCGAGGGCGTTTTCTGCAGGCACCCCATGAAAAGGCGGCGTTGACGTTCTGTCCCAATCAGGGCATGCATAATCGCACTAGCTCTGGATGTGATTGCAGTCAGATGCATCCAGGTGTGTGTGGTGGCAATTGCAGTCAGATACATATTACGGAAGTGCGCATGTGTCCATGCCCTCGGCATACTCGCGTAAGCAGGTCTATTATGTTCCTGGGCGTCCAGGTGTTCGACTAGCTTGGGATTTGATCGTAGGGTATATTGGGATCGTTCAGTAAGTTTATAGGGGTATCTGTGAAATTTGCCCGTTTTGGGGTGTAGCATGATCAATCTTATAGTTTCTTGCTGTTGTCGGTGGTTGAGAATCGGATCGAGCTCTCGGTCTGTCGAGGTAAAACACACAAAAAGAAATGTTGAAACTACCTAACTGTCTGTAGTAGTTAAAAAAGCATCCTGCTATGAAAACAGAAAAGTGTGACAATTTTGAATGCAGTTTTTTTTGGAAATGCGCTCTGTAACTATTGAAGTTTTGATTCCACTGAGAGGATTACGGAGACTGGGTACTTTGAGACTGCTTTGTCGTCTTGAGAAGTCGTCGTTGCCGGAGTTGTTAGCTTGCTAACCATCGTGAATGCTGTCATTTTTGCCTTCTCTCTCTCTCTCTCTCTCTCTCTCTCTCTCTCACACACACACACACACACACACACACACACACACGCACACACGCACACCTATTGCTGGGCAGCAACCCTTGCTGGGAGATGGGTCCAGCGTCGTGAGCAAATGGTACACACATGTAACTGTTGATGAATACAGAGCATGAATTGAAATCGTGATGGGATGAAATCAAACAGACGCAATAATGTTATAGGTGCTTTGAACTGCTTTCACTGGTTTGTATTTTGGTGCTTTGTTTGTGCTTGCCGACTTGCCGTAATAGTGGGCCAAGATAATGATTCCTATAGAGCGTGAACAGACTTGCTCCAGTTGGGCCTCTTGTCCTTGTGCACTACAACAAAGTGGGACAGTTTCTACCTTCCACTGTTTGCCATCACTTTATGGTGGAACCTCTATTTATTTATTTATTTATTTATTTATTTGTTTATTGATTTATTGATTTATTGATTGAATCCTGGCACTGTACTCTTACGGAGTCCTACCTGGTTTCTATTCACCGTTGCGGTCACCCAACACTTTGTATCAGCACAACTCAACTCTCTGCCCCTCTACTAATCCGGTGCGGAACCCTGGAGCGCTCTTCACTGGGATTCGCCGGTCTACGATGGCACCATAGGATGCCTATGTATGATGCCAGCATACTGTGCCAACGTACTTTGTCAGTGTATGTTTCGAGTGTCAACAATGCCAGCGTACTATGTCAGTGTGTGCTTCTATTGGGCACTCCAAAGCATTCTGTGATGGGACGGTCAGTCTATTATGCCAGCATATGCCCATGGGCTATGTTGCAGTACTATTTCACAGTACTATGCCAGTATGCCAATGTAGTATGTCAGTGTATGTTCCCAGTGTGCACTCGAAAGCACGCGGTGATGGGACGGCCTGTTTATTATTCCAGCATACGACCATGGGCATACTGGCATAGTATTGTGTCATGCGAGCATATGCCTGTGGGTTATGTCAAAGTACTATGTCACAGTACTATGTCACAGTACAATGCCTCAGTACTACGTCACAGTACTATGCCACAGTACTATGCCACAGTATTGTGTCATGCGAGCTGTATGCCTGTGGGTTATGTCACAGTAGTACGCCACAGTACTATGCCGCAGTACTATGTCACAGTACTATGCCACAGTACTATGTCACAGTAGTATTATGTCACAGTACTATGTCACTTTATGTTTGCAGTATGCCTTTGCTGCACACTGTGCCAGCCGAGATGCACTCGCATTTCCAAAGTGGCATGGAACACTGGGGTTTTCACCGGAATAGAACGCACCGTCGCTAGAGCTGTATTTGGACCAATTTTCGTCTAGAGACGGCGATCATGATCTTGCGATCGGTTGTTCGTGGTGAAGACGGTGGCATTCTACAATGAGAATGCTTGTGTGCTGGTCCTCGAGCGTACTATGCTGGCGTACTGTAGCAGTGCATACCTGCATTGTACATTGGCATAGTGTTGCCCACGTACTATGCCACGTACTATGCTGACATACTAAACTGACATAATTGTGCCCATGTTCTATGCCATGTGCAATCCTGACATACTAAACGGGCATGCTGTGCCCATGTACTGTGCTGGCATATACTATGCCATGTACTATGCCTGTGTGCACATGCCCTATGCAGTGTACACTGCAGTGATAGTATGCCAGTGCAGCATACTATGCTGGCCTGGCATACTGTATGTTGCATACTGCACTGGCACACTGTGCCTATGTACTTATCGAATAAATCGGAAAAAAGCGCACCAGCTCAGTATGCCAGCAGATGATTGCTACACCATGTTATCGGATGTCATTCACAATGCGCATGGATTTAAACCACTGTAGAATTTCATAAAGTCGTGCCCGTTGACACGCCACGATTTTAGGAAATGTACGGGTCACTGTAGGAGCGCCCAAATTCATCTGACTAGAAACATTTCTATTCTATTTTTTTCTGGCGGCTGATATCTGGGCCAAGTACTGGTGGTTTAAACTGCCGGTACACGGGCCCAGCCTTGCTGGAAAAAAAAAAAAAAAAAAAAAAACACATCGCCCATCTGAAAAAAATGTTGGATCTGGGGGAAATCGGGGCACGATGGCTGGCGGTGCGAGCTGAAAAAGAAGAGGAGTGTGGTGCTGGTAGCTCGGCAAAGCTTAGCGTGCCGTGGAGGGCACCTCCAGGCAACGGCGCCCTGGTGATTTCAACCCTCAGTACATGTGCCAGGCAGCAGCAGCTGAAAAACCTGTTTTAAGCCTCTCCGGAGAAATAGAAGGTGAGCGCCGTGGGTAAAAATGAATCGGTGGTGGGCGGCCTCTGAAAGGGGGGGCCCGCGGCCGATAGCTGGGGGCCTGCGGGCGATAGCTGGCGGCCCGCGGCCGATAGCTGGGGACCCGCGGCTGATAGCTGGCGTGTACTGGTGTGCTTTACACAACCAGTACACTACACGCCATACACTGGTTATATTACTTGGCCCTTTTTGGAGGGCGGAAACGAGGCAAATGCTGCCGATGGAATTTATCAGCGGTGACCTGGCCCTTGTTTTTTTAAAGATGGGTGACGAGTTCTACTTCAGCAAGGTTGGGACGCTGGGACGGTCTACTTCTGGTTTAAACCTGGCATAATGTTTTTTGCCATATTGTAAGTATATGATACACACTTTTAACCCCCTCGAACACAATTCACCCTCTTTTTGACTGTGTATTGGACCAGAACAAAAATTCCATAAATGGCAAGTATCCCTGCCATTGGGAATTCAACGGCATGCCTGAAATGGAATAGTTTGCTAGGTTCTATTTTTTCAATTTAAAAATGATTAGGGGCACGCCGCAGGCACCGGGGATAGCCCTGCCGGTTCTGTCGGTCCCTTGTTTTCTGAGCCCCCCTCTGCCATATGCCGCTGTATAAGCTTATTAGTAGGAGTGGTAGGTAGGTAGTGAAAGGTGAAATTGACAGAACAACATAGCGTACTTTTTTTTTTCTTTTTTCAAGAGAAGCTTGAGAGAGAGAGAGAGAGAGAGAGAGAAGCTTATGTGGTGTGTTTGGGGGAGGGCAATGGTCTCTGGCATGATTTGCCCCTCTGCCAAGGTAAAGCCTCTCTTTCTTTCCTTTTTTTTTTTTTTTTTTTTTAATCCCAACTCGGACCGGTCGAAAAGTCGTCCAGTCCATTCGTCAGTAGGCTTGCGGTCAGTCTATGTCGTCGCAGTGATGTGAACTTGGCCAATCTGAACTTGGTTTTTTTTTTTTTTTTTTTTTTTTTTTTTTGG